CTGCTCTATGTGAGTTAACTGCTATGAAGTTGATATCTGGATGATAAAAACATTAATGGCAGTGAAATTAATGTGCCCCGATCAAGAGTAAAAATGATGTGGAAGAATTTGAACTCTTTTCCTAATATTTCTTAAATAGCTTAATCCTGATTCTGAATTATTTAAATTACTTTTTCAAAACAGTCAATTGAATAAAATGAAGAGGGTTTATATTACATAGTTAATGTAAGTTTTTCTATTTTGGAAATGGAAGTTGTGATTAAAATTGGCATTTCTGAAACTCTAATTGCTAGTTATTGCATTTCTAGGGGGGAAAAAAGAAAAGAAAAATATTTCCAAGACTAGCCAGATGGGAAGTCTCAAGATAAGAAATTGTAAGCCAATGTTCATATTCCAATCAGAAAAATTCTGTTTATACATTTTTTTTTTTTTTTTTTTTTTTTTTTTTTTGAGACAGAGTCTCACTTTGTTGCCCAGGCTAGAGTGAGTGCCGTGGCGTCAGCCTGGCTCACAGCAACCTCAATCTCTGGGGCTCAGCGATCCTACTGCCTCAGCCTCCCGAGTAGCTGGGACTACAGGCATGTGCCACCATGCCCGGCTAATTTTTTGTATATATATTTTTAGTTGGTCAATTAATTTATTTCTATTTTTTTTGGTAGAGACGGGGTCTCGCTCAGGCTGGTTTCGAACTCCTGACCTTGAGCAATCCGCCCGCCTCGGCCTCCCAAAGTGCTAGGATTACAGGCGTGAGCCACCGCGCCCGGCCTGTTTATACATTTTTAATTCTGCTTAAATAGTAATACATTTCTTTAATTAATTCCTAAACTGCTATTAATTGGCTGGCTAATTTTCTAACATTAAGTTTAATCTCCCAAATCCTGTTAGATTATTAAGCAGAATCATTTGTATAAGAACATATTGTATATTAAGGACTTTATAAATTCTAATGGGCTTAGACTGGTTTCTGATATTGCAAATGATATCTCTTTGTAGATGTATAAACTGCTAGTAGAAACTTAAAATGTCCACTCAAAATCCATTTCTGATTGGAATGTGGCAAACTGCTTCAGTTTACATGCCCAGAACCAGAGCAACCCAAATGCCTTTGTGATATCAATATTCAGAGTCTTAGGTAACTAACCTATGCTTCTTTGGTAACTTCTGCTCTTTCAATCTGAAAGCTCTCTCCTCCTTTCATCACTCCCTTTCGTCTTCACTCCTTTTCTCTTCTGCCATTCCTTTAAGAAACAGTAGATGAATGGAAAAGGTTTGCAGTGCAGGGATGTGAGAAAAAGCCATAATGCTTCCTTTTGTCGTCCATGAGACCAAAAACTGTTTCCAAACAGGAAAAGATGGCCAAGCAAGGGCTTTCGCTTGCTGAAATTTATTGCAAGTCTTCCAAACATAAGAATCTTTAAGCCACAAAGAAAGGCTCTTTTTGGAGGGTCTTGCTTTTGGTAGACTCATGGGACTGTTTTCTTTCATACAAGCCTGCTGAAGGCTACTGAGAAAGAATTACAAATTGAGGTACATCTCTTGCTAGTTGCTTGGGTTTGACAAATAAAGCAATCATCAAAATCATGGAGTGTGCACTATTTTTAAAAGCCCTATTTGTTTGGCATAATATAGCAGCAGGATGGCTAGGCAAATAAATGGCATTACTTAATGTAATCACTTAATGTTGTACAACGAAAGTCAGGTCTCATTGCTTTATTGCTTGCAAAGAGTTTGATGACAATAAAGTTGATTGTTAGTGTGAAGATATAAATTGTTCAGTAGTTAAGAGTTGTTAATGACAGCAAAGGAACACAAAAGAGGAAAAATACGCTTTAGCAGCCCAAATTCATTGCTAATTGCTTGTGCATTCATTATAGGCTGACCAGGGCTAATTATCTAATTAAACTCAATCTCTGCTGCCTTAGAGGAATTTCTAGGCACTGTGATGTTGGTTGTCAATTACCTCAGCATGTCCTGTTGAAGTGTGTAGTTAACTCAAGGCATGTTTTGCTTTTCCTACTAGCAATACATGGTACTCTTATTGCATGATAATTTATGCTTAGAATGAAAACAAAAGTTTTTCCTTAAAAAATACACTGTGGAAACTAAGAATAATGGCAAACATTTTAAACAACAGCTCCTGCTCATTTTACTCAATGATCTATATTCAGGAAAAGTCAATATAATCTACTTTAAGTGGAAAGACAACACAGACAGAAAAGATAAATCAAATATCATTGTATGCAGGTTACTGAGTGTTCTCTTTACATGTTGTTTTTAAAAATACATTTAAAAAATGTCCTTTTGTGATGCTCTGCAGTAATTCACAGAACAAAATTATATTTCTTAATTGCATATAATTACAATTTTTAAAATGCATTGAGTTTTTTTAAAAGCTGGAAGGAAAGTAGTAAATCATCTAGATTAAATTCTTCACTTTACAAATAAGGAAACTGAAGTTCCAAGAACTGAAATGACTTGTCCTAAATCACACACAGCTGGTTGCTAGAACCAAAAGTAGAACCGGTATCCTCTCAGTACATTATTCTTTCCATGTTAATTCCTGCTGTTCCACTTTCAAATCATACTATCATTTCTCACATTTTTTCTTAAGTTCTTTAACAGAGCATCTATGTTATGTGGACACGGTTGGTTTTGTTTGTTTTTCCAGAAAAAGGCTTTGATTAGTAGCATTTCACCTCTCCAAGGAAACACATGTAATACTGTCCCCACTTATTTCAAGTTAGTCAAATGCCCAGAGATATAATTTAAAGTGAACACTCAAGGGAGAAGATTTAAAAAAAAAGATATCATATGCTTTGTCCAACTCAAAATGAAAAGATGATAAACTTACAGTGGACTTTATTAATCAGACTGCTCAAACAATTAAATTGCATCCTGCTATTTTGTTCCTAGGCAATTTGATCTTCAATCAATGGTCCATAACCATAAAGCAGTATTTACTAAGCCTCCTTTGGGAGGGTATCTCCCAAGAAAGTACAATTTCACTCTAAACAGTTTTTCCCACCTTCACTTCCGTGAATCCTGGGATATAGCATTTGTGTCCCCTTGTGGACAGAGAACCCTACCCTGCCCCTTTCACAGTCATTTTTTCAGGCAGGCACCAGCAATAAATACACAGTTCATTGCTGGCAAGTTAAGGAAGATGATTTTCCCTTTCACTGCCTCTTGAAGCTGAACATCAACTGTTTCACCACTTGTGATTCAAATCCATTAATTAAAATAAATATAATGTAAAAATCTCTCTTTCAGCCAGGAGGAAAAGGACAGATGGGGAAGCGGAGGAGGTGGAGATAGCTGATGTCTTCTTAGAGGGGGAAAAAAACAGGAAAAGAAAAACAAGAAGCATGAAATGGGGGGGGGGTTGATTAAGAGAGGTAAAGTATGTTTGAATTTAATTTACAGTTCACAGCTATTTTAGGTCTTATAATAACTGCATTGCTTAAAGGAGAAAAGGAAAACCTCTCTAATATCAACTTGGTGGAGGGGGTGTTATAATCTTAATCACTTCCCAAAATGGTAATACCTGGCCTTTGGCAGTGCTTCAGCCTAAGTGTAGCAAAACCTTCTTTTCATTAATAAATTGTGAGAGCCACACATTTTCCCCCCTCAACCTCCCTCTGCATTCTCTTAATTTTTAATTCCTTTCTCCCTTGCCTCCCATTGCCTAAAATAAGACACTGGTAAAGAAGAGAGAACAAAAGAATCAATTTACATCCTTCTCCACCCCTACATGCCCTGGTCTATAGAATTAGTTAAAAAATGAGGTCTACATCATGTATCACACAACTCAACTTCTGTAATTTATAAGTGCAGTGTGTACATCTAAACAATAAAAATTCTTGAGCTTAGCATATTTAATTAAACAGTCCATACACCAAAGTGATATGATTTCAGATAACCACATGAAGTTTAACCAGAGTAGAGTAGGCAGTTATTTCATAAGATCTTAGGGGAGATGGACAGAGCTAAGGTTCCAGTGTAATAATTTTAAATAAAAGAGATGAAAGAAAAAAATAAATGTGTTTGATTTTGTCTGAATCCTCCTTATAATTGTCTCTATTCTCCATGTTGGCCTAATTGAGATCTGGAAGCAATCTTATTATAGATCATCTACAAACATGAAGAAACTGGAATCCAGTGAAGTCAAGTGACTTGCTCAATAACACACAGCCAGTCAGTGGCAAAGCCATGACACCAGTTCTTTTGACTCTGCAACTATTAATATTTATTTTTTCTTACAACTTGACATTCATTCATGACAAGGGATGAGAAATATATGTTAACATTTTTTAAAAACTGAAAGGAAAGCCATAATATGAATCCCAAATATTTTAAATACAATCAAGTATGTTAATCTGAAAATAGGAAAAATTTGTATCCATTTATTTACCATGTCCTATACTAACATAAAAAGCAGAAATAGGAGTAAGCTGGCAAAGGACTACTGGGACAAAAGAAACCTTCCTGGAGTGGGGAGAGGGGAATAAAAGAGGAAAAAAGAATATAAATGTATTTATTACCACTAAACTGTACTTTAAAAATGGTAAATTATATAGTTTAACTCAATAATTGTTTTAAAAGCACTCTCAATAACAGAAAATAAATAAATAGAACCTCATCACAATTTAAAAAGTAAAGAAACCTTTCTCCCCACTTTAAAAACAAAAACAAAACAAACCTGCAGGCTAGGAACTCTGAGCATTTGAAAAATGTCAATACTCCTGTACTCTTTTGACTGAGTGAAAGTGCAACAAAAGAGATGGGCAAAATGAATTCTGAAGAAAGACATGAGGAAAAGTCAGAAAGTAAAAAATCTTGTGAATTAAGGAAAATAGTCATCATAAAGTGGAGAAGTAGGGAGGGAAAGAAGAGTGAAAGAAGTACAAGCCTAGAACCCAGGAATGAGGATATCATATAAATGAGCAGGTAGAATTAAAGAGATACAGGCTGGGGGCTCTTCCAGTTTTCCTTGTTTCCTGGTTAATTAAGCAACTATAAAGAAGAAGAAAAAAAAAATCTCAGCTTTATTCATGCTTCTGTGTGCTTCCCCTATTCCTAAATTTAATAGACGTGGGCAGGAGGTGGAATTTAAGCTTTATCAGTCTTACCTATCACCACACAGCTGTCAATTTGTAAAAGAGAAAATGTGGAGAGAATATATAATACTTTGAAATAGATTGCTGAAGCAATAGTCAGGGGTATCTACAAAATAGACTCCTAATCTTTACACTGCTTTTCCTGTCTTTCCTCTGGATCGCTGCCCCCAATCCAGGTTTCTCTGCTGTTACACTCATCCCACCACCAATCTCTTAAAAATGTAAAACAGATCAAGTCACTCCCCTATTCAAAGCTCTGCAAAGGCTTCTCATTGCACCTATAATAAATTCCAACTACCACAGCCTACAACTCCCTATAACCCCCTCCTATGGCCTGTGGGCCGACATAATGTGGCCCTTGCCTACCTCTCCAACTTCATGTTCCTCCAGGAACTCTGAAGCTCACTATGCAGTCTAACTCCGCAGGACTTCAGATTTTTCCCTAACTATACCAAGTTCCTTACTACCTGGTCAATGTCATAGTATCCAATACCCTTTAACAATCTTAAAGCTATTTCCCAGTCTTGGAATGCTATGCCCCTGGATTTTTCTTAGGCTAACTCTTTAATATTCAGGAGCAGCTCAAATGTTATCTTCTGGTCACTCTTGACAATCCAATTTAAAGTAACATACCACACACACAGAAATATCACACCATCCTATCACTCTGTTTTGTTGTCTTCATAAGTTATCTCTGTCTGAAATTATTAATATGTGGCTCAGGTATTTGTACTGCGTAACACTCCCCCAGCCCCACCCCCCCATAACATACACATACTTGCTAATAAATTCCTTGGGAATCCAAACCTTGTCTTCCTTGTTCCTTGCTGAATCCTCAAAGTCTAGAACAATGCCTGGTACTCAGTGGATACTCCTTATTTATCAAATGAGAGATTGTGTCTATCCCAAACTTTGCTCAAACCTTGTTTCTACCATGCATTTTCCTAACACTTGTTCATCATTACTTTTCTTTTCTTATCTGTTCCCTTTTCAGAATTTCTTTTGGTCTCCATTCTGCTTACAGCAATACTGAAGAATTAAAGAATAAAAAACATTAAAAAGAAGGACATTAATACTAATAGAAACCCACCAAGCCTATGCTGCTAACCATTGGGCAGAAGGCCAAGTAAGGTGCTTCTTAAGGGCAAAATCCCATAGGGTCAATCTCATCCATTAGTACAGCTCTGAAGGGCAGCATCAAAAAGCATCATGTAGGTAACATCTCTGTGCCCTAAAAAAGTACCACATGCCCTATGGACACTCAGTGGTTCTTAAAAACTTTAATGTTGCAAAAGATGCAGTAAGTTTTGACAGGATCTGGGAATCTGCACTTTTGACAAATGCCCCCAGGTGATTCCAAAGACTGATAGAGGCAGTCTTTGGAAACTTTGAACTCAGGCCAAAGGACGAATAGCAAAAACCTAAGGGATAGTATCACCAAGTAGATGGCTTAACCAATAAAATTAATCTTTTCTCCATCTCTACCCTGAAGCTGATTCTCAAAATGAGTTAATTCTCAAACGAGTCAATTTGCTTAGTATTATTTAAATTCATTGGTCTTTAAGTACAGCTTTTAGCCATTTTAAAATGATAGCAGAGGCAGTTACTATGTTCTAGAGCTAGATGCTGTCAGCGATTTACACATGTATCTTATTATCCCATTTTATAGATAAAAATTTTGAGCTTCAGTTAAGTGCAGACAACTATTAATAAGTGACAGATTTGGAAACAGATCTGTATGTCACTGAAGTCTGTATTATATGAAATCTATATCTCCCACAAATTATACCTTAGTAGAAGTAAAACCAATAAATAAAAATCCATTTCTAAACAGAGAGGATTTTCCCTTAAATATTCTTCACTTTAGAAAAAGATTTCATGAAATTTATTTTCTTCATATTGAAAATACATTTAAATAATGTAACATGGCAACCTGTGAAAATGAATCAATCTTAAGAATCCTTTTTTAAGTCAAATAATCACTCCCTTAATAAGAGTCATCTAATATTATAATAAGACTGCTTCTGTATTAACAGATCTAGCAGTAGTGCTCAAACTGGGCTGATAATCAAGAACCACTTGGAGGAGCATCTTAAAAACAAATTCTAGGCTTCACTCCAGTTCATGTGAATCAGAATCTCTGAGGTGTGACCCCAAGATCTTTATTTTTTTAAGCTCTGCAGGGGCTGCTGATGAGTAACTGAGGTTCAAAACTACTGTTACCCTAAAACAGCATTCTACAAATGAATAAATTGAGGACCTAAAAGGTAGAATTTGCCTAACAACACACAGCATAAGTGGCATAGTATCCTGGAAAAGCAATGTCCTGACTCCCATTTGGTGCTTTTTACACCAATCAAGCTGCTGTTTTTGATAAAACTGTATTTAATTCTGCTCTGCTGCTTATGCCTTTCTGATTACTTACTATACACTATCCTACAACTTATTCCATCTGCAAACTGAGAAGAATAATAATAGTGTCTACCTCTTAAGAGTTGCCGTGAGGATTAAATAATATAACGTTCATTATATAATGCACTTAACACAGTGCCTGGCATATTGTGAGTACTCATTAGCTAGGTTATGTAACCCACTAAAAAAGCATGCCTATTTTAACTGGAGAGGATTTGCTGAACCACGCCAATTACAAAATGTACAAGAAACCCATGTTTAGCTTTGGGAGTCCAAAGACTTTAAACTCAGGGTTAAGATTAAAGTCATGGTATCTAATGTCTTGTTTTTCCAGTCATCATCTACTTCTGTCAAACGTTAGTTTACTTCACAGAGAATAATGCCTCTGTGAACTAACTTCACAAGAGCCTGATTTTTGCACATTTTTTCCTAGCCTCTGAATTACCTAGTGAATCCACCTGCATTTACCAAAGCCCCCTCCCCCTTCTCAGGCAACCGAAGTTTGATGATCACTAGTATTCAGAATCTATGACCACAGTAAATGGCCTCTCAAGTCCTCCCAGCAAAAAGACTATCGTGCTCTGTAACCAGAAGAGCAGCGTCATCAGGCTCTAATGCAAACAACAGCTGGGCCCGGCTGTGCAGAGTAACCGTGGTGAGCATCAGGGACGGGTTCGACCTCCTCACCTCCCAGGAAACTTAGAGAACTACCAAAGGGCCGCCCAGCAATCCCCGCGGTAGACATTGCTGCCTAGGCGACCACGAGGAGCTAAGTTTGACTCAGCCTCCTTCTCAAGGGCAGGACCAAAGGAAGGCGACCCTGGATGGCTGACCAGGCTCCAGCGGCGCCAGAAGGTTAACGACCCTCTTGCCCTGTTTCTTGTGAAGGCCAAGAGCCTCCTCTCCCACACAGGCCAGCTGCCGGAAGTGCGTCACCCAAACCTGCTGGGGATGCTGGGAGTTGTAGTTAAGTGGACACTTCTCGCACCCCAATTCCTCTTTTTACAAACAAGAAAACGTCTTGAAACCCTGAAGAAGATCGCTTTATGCCCAACATGTCTAATAATCCCTCCGTTTTGCAGTCGCCAAAGCGCACTCTCAGCGCTCAGGCGGAAAGAGGACTACAAGTCCCAGCATGCTCCGCTGGGCTGCTGGCGCGCCCGGCCACCGTCCTAAGTACGGGCCGCATGAATGGGGCGCCGGGCGTAAGGCGAAGCCTGGCACGGTCCGCGGGGCCGCTACCTGCTCCTGGCGCGTGAGTACGAGGTGTGGGCCGTGCGGCGTGCGCGTGCGCGTGCGCGCGGCGAGAGCGCCAGGCCGTTGCAGGCGCGCGGCTGCTAGGGTTGACGGCGGCGCCGCGCGCCCGAGGGGCCGGTGGTTGCGGGGCCTCCCGCCTCGACCCGGGCTGCGGGCAGCCGTGGCGGCCGCCGGGGACCGCAAGGGGCGGAGGAAAGGAGGGGGCCGGGCCCGGCACGCGGAGGAACAACCGAGCATGCCCCGGGACAACATGGCCTCCCTGATCCAACGGATCGCCCGCCAGGCTTGCCTCACCTTCCGGGGCGGCGGGGGCGGCCGCAGAGCTTCCGACCGCGGCGCGGCGTCTGGCCCAGAGGCGCCGATGTCGCCAGGCTTCCCGGAGAACCTGAGCAAGCTGAAGAGCCTGCTGACCCAGGTCCGCGCCGAGGACTTGAACATCGCCCCGCGCAAGGCCACGCTGCAGCCACTGCCGCCCAACCTGCCGCCCGTCACCTACATGCACATCTACGAGACCGACGGCTTCAGCCTGGGCGTGTTCCTGCTCAAGAGCGGCACGTCCATCCCGTTGCATGACCACCCGGGCATGCACGGCATGCTCAAGGTGCTGTACGGCACCGTGCGCATCAGCTGCATGGACAAGCTGGAGGCGAGCGGCGGGCAGCGGCCGCGGGCCCCGCCGCCGGAGCAGCAGTTCGAGCCGCCGCTGCAGCCCCGGGAGCGGGATGCGGTGCGGCTGGGCGTGCTGCGCTCGCGGGCGGAGTACACCGAGGCCAGCGGTCCCTGCGTCCTCACGCCGCACCGGGACAACCTGCACCAGATCGACGCAGTGGACGGGCCCGCCGCCTTTCTGGACATCCTGGCCCCGCCCTACGACCCGGACAATGGCCGGGACTGCCACTATTACCGGGTGCTGGAGCCCGTCAGGGCCAAGGAGGCCTCCGGCTCGACCTGTGACCTGCCCCGAGAGGTGTGGCTCCTGGAGACCCCGCAGGCCGATGATTTCTGGTGCGAGGGAGAGCCCTATCCAGGTCCCAAGGTCTTCCCTTGAACCCGCCGGCGCTCGGGAGCGGGGGGCCGAAGACGCGCCCTCGCCTATCAGGGCCTGGCTGCCCGCGACCCTCCACAAGGGCTCTGCCTCTGCCCCTATCCTGGGCGTTGGATCTACTGGAATCAGCAGTAGCCGCTTCCTCGGCAGCTTTGGGAAGCACGGGCGAGTGGACCACAGCCACCGGGCACGGTTTTGGGGGCGGGGTGGGCGGGGAAGCTAGGTTGTTTCCTGGTACAGTCACTGCCACCAGGGCTTTGATTTGGGAGGAGTGGGGCAGGGGACCATCTGAAGCGCTTCCATCCTAAAGCCATAATGAAAATATTTTCTTCCTCTGTTCCCCATTCCATGCAAAATAAAAAACTAAATCTACCCCCCCCTTCGGTAAATAGGATTTGTTTTCCACTCATGCCCGTACACCCTTTTACTCCTTGTAGTTTTAACTTATTATTGACTGCGCATGACCCAGTGGTCAAGTCATTGGTTAAAAACTAGGTTTAAAGAGATGAGCTGTTGAAAGTGAGCTGCCCTGTCTAATTAATTCCTTGTGAAAATTAAATCACTCGTTCTGAGTTCAGGGGTCACCCTCAAAACATAACTATGCATGTAGAGGACAAGATTGATTTTCTTTCCTCCCCTCGCCCAGTAGTCACATCTAGTTTACTCAGGCAGCATCTACTAAGAAATTCAGCGCTTGCATATCTCTCCGACGTGGTCACTAAAAGCTTATCTTCCCCATGAATCTCCACGTCTGTGAGTTGAGCAGATTTCTTGTTGCAGATTCACCTTTAATGCAAACAGTATATTATCCTCAAGTGACTTTTTTTCTTAATGTACTTTAAGAGGTTATAGTGTAATTCTGTATTTTCTAGCCGGAAGATTTAAAGGAGCTGAAACTGTTATGCTTCCAAACAACTGAATGTAAAACATTCTTAGCCAGCTATTAAATTCCATACCCCTATTTACTTTCAATATCTTCCTGTAAAAGTAGAGGAAAATATTATGTTGATGACTGTTTCATATTCTCTCAGGAACTCTAATGTTCCAGAGGGTTGGTGGTTCCAGCTGTGTTGCTGGCAGTGTTATGTCAACCCTCTCCCTAAAACGAGAGAGCAACTGCTCGGTTGTCTAATGTGGTTTTCTGTAGGAAGAGGTAGAAGGCACAGATGATCAAGGCTAGAGAATTAAGAATTAACTACTACTAGCCATTTTAGGGCACCAAAACTTGGGATTAAACATTTCTCACTCCCAAGTCTTAAACAGTTGTGCTATCTGTGACTAGTTTTAATTTTGTCCTTTTAATAGGCTGAGCAACTTTACCTTGTTTACAGATGTATTGACACCATTTGCTTCAGGCGGTGGAGCACTGTTTCCCCCTTTTTACTATTTATAGGATTCCTTTTTTCACAAAACTTTTAATAAAAACAAACTGTAGAAATAAACACATTAAAATTTGTCCAGCTGTCGTCTAAGCCCTCTTGATTGACTTGCCCAAATGGCAATAAAGTTCTAATATTTGTAATAAAGGGAGGTTTGCTATTATTGGGGGAAAGTATTTGTTGATCCTGTGGGGAAACAGCATGTGCCTTTGCCTCTTTATACACACTGGGTGTACAGAGACCCAGGGTGAAGGAGTAATTGTTCCCAATTTTTAAAACAACATGAAAAAGCAAATTAATTGATGAATTTTTTTTTTTTAACAATAAAGATGCTAATTCAAGAGGACATGCCATTATGTTGTAAAACCTGTCACAGGCAAAGCACCAAGCACTTCCTCCAGGGTTGCTAAAATTGTTTTATTGTAGCTTCACATTCTGGTGTGGTTTAAAATGCCTTGGGGGCAGTTTGAAGCAGCTCTTCTTGCCAGTCACTTTGAAAATTAGATATGCAAATGATTTTCTTAGAAAACTCTAATATGTTTATTTTTTTTCATAGCACAGTAATAAATGTGGTTATCAATCACATACTTTTTTGAATTGTAGCAAAAAGTTGATAGTTTACAAAGATTGTTGGTAGCAATGTATTTGTTAATAATACAACGTGGAGTACATTAAACCTACAAAAACTCATCCTGGCCACAGGACAGTAATAAAAGAAGAATTATTATGAAAGACTTCATTATGAAAAAATGTTTAAGTCCTCAATTACAAGCAATTTGGAAGAAAAAAACTAAGGTGCTTTTCAAAAGAGTAACTGAAATTGTTGTATGCCAAAAGAGCAATATGGTATCTCTAATTTAGTTCAATAAGAACAGTGAAGCTTTTGGTACACTAATAAATTCTGAGTAAATTAATGGTGAAAACAAAATGTAACTTGTTTTAGTGAGCCACTAAGGAAAGGATATGCTCATTACAATGACAAAATGTGATGCAGAAAAAACCGTGCACCTCTATGCATAAACTGTTAGTCACAACTGACTTTATGTGCTGCTATTGTGTTTCCATATAATCCTGCAATGTAGATTATGTTTTAATAACAACTGTGGGATAAAGTTTTCTTCCCTTAGGAAATACTAATGAGCACAATGATATTAATCACTTAATTTTTCTGTTGAATAATAAATGCAATAATTGCCTCTCATGGGTGAGAAATCATTTGTCTCAATACTTCTGAAGCTTTAAATTTTCTAGTAATTTCAGTGACCAGTTATATCAATGCAGAATATTATGTATCTACCTACTACCTTATGAGAATTGGTTTTTTCTACGCCTGATTTGAAAGGATTGAGTTTATACCAACTGCTGTTTATTAAGGAATATGGTAACCTTTTAATGTGCGTTTTGTCAACAGGAGGAGGTTCTCTGAGCTTTTAACGCTAATAGCCCTTCTCCCCAAATCCACACCTTTTATTCCCCCTTTTTATTGTTTCCTTCTTGGTGCCTCAGTCCTGGCATCCCAGGAGGACACTGTCACCACTTGTCTATTCCAAATGATTCCGAATCTTGTGGTTTAGCTTTACTGCCCAATGAAGAAGCAATGTATCTTTAATTCAGTGCTCTGCCCATTGCTATTCAACTCTAACCTGAGGGTACTGCTACTCCTGTAACTGTGGAATTTGGAATTTAGGGTTAGATACAGAAGCCAACCACCGATCACTTTCATTGCAGTGAGGCATCTATTATCAAAGAGGAAACCACTGGTTAAGCCCCATACAAATACTGAATCTTCAAATCCAGGGCTATTTACGTTTTTGGCTTAAAATCAATGTACTTATGGAAAATAAAGGCATGTTTAAAATTGTTGAAAGATAAATCTTACTTGATTATTGCAAAACAGAATGAAAACGTTACGATATCTACATGTTGATTACTATTAAACATTCATGACCTGTACTGTAAGATTATGTTGTACTAAAAACTGGTTCTGCAGATTTCTGAAGTCCCAGTAATAATATACACTTAAAATTAGTAGTTTATTTCCTTGAGAGTGAGCTTTGAAACAGTATGACTGAAAACACATCTGAAACTGTTTAATGTCTGATCATACTATTTCACTATAACAGAAAAAAGCTGCTTTTATATTAAAAGAAAATCTAGTAATGTACGAGAAAGCAAAAATACTTTCATCCTAGAAGGAAAGAATCTTAGGACTTAAATATTTGCTTTCCTCGTATTTTTCCTTTACTGTAGAATGTGTTTAGTTATAGTTTGGACGGACAGCATTTTGAGCACTTGTGGATCCTGACCGTTCTTTCTCACAACAAAATTGTATTGAACTATTAAAATGTCACTGCAGTCATTTTAATATATATGAAACAATCTGCCTTAATCTCATTAGCAGTTAGGATATTGTAATTAAATAGCCTGGTTTATGAACACTTGAAGACC